GGGAGGAGGAGGCGGCGGAGAAGGAGGAGGAGGACAGGGGCAGGAAGAAGGGAAGGGGGCAGGAAGAGGGGAAGGGGGAGGGAAAGGGCGGTCCCCTGCCCCCCCAAGGCGTGGGGCCCCCAGGGGGGGAGCCTGCGGCTGGCGCCAGCTGGCGGCCAGCCAGGGGGGAGCTGCGAGTTCTCGTCGAGCGCCGTGGGCCCTCCGCGGCCGGAAACTATCCAGCAGGCTTGGGCCAGCGCGCAAGCGCCGTACCGAGAAAAAAAAAGGAGGCAGAAGAGAGGAGACGCGGGGAGGGGGGCATCTAGGCGTCATGCCCAGATTCTGGCAAGGCACCGCTCAGAAGTTCTGTGTCCCGTTGCCGCCTCCCGTAGGGCCTGTTGCAGCGCCCTCCCAGCCGCAGCTGCGGTCAACGTCCCAGTAGATCGGGTCGCATTGGTCGCGCGGTAGACCGCGTAGGCGCCCAGCGCCCCCTTGGCGAGCAGATCGTCGTCCTGCCGGCTGGCGTGGACTCCCAACCAATATGGCAGCAGCGACTCCGAATCTATGCGGAGCGATGTCGCATGGAAGCGGCGCATGACTCTGCATCTCGAATAATGCTCAATGCTATCTTCTGCGCCGCCGCCACAGCCCAGCCGACAAACGTTGGCTGAGGTGCCACGCGCGGTTGCACTTCATGGAAGCGCGGCAGAGGAAGGCGTCTTGACTCCACCCCTCAGCATCTTCAGGACGCTCCTCGTGCGCTTCTCCTCGGTGCCCCGCTTCGCAGACTCGGAGTCCGCCCGCCGCCACCTCTGCAGCATAGCGCTGACGGCTGGCGCTTTGGTCCGCCTTGCCGGTCCAACGTGCGTGCGACTCGTCCTTCCAACCGTACAAGCCGAACTTCCCTTAGCGCGCATCAGCCGCGGATCGTGCCCTCATTCGGCGGGCAGTCCCAAAGCGGTTCGCGCAGAGGTCGCTGTGCAGGCGGCCTCGCAGGCAGCTTGATGGTGGATCCTGGGAGGTAGCGGCGATCTTGCCCCCGCTGCGCTACTCCCTCGAGCTTCTCCTCGATCGGCAACGGCCTCTGCGCCGCCCACGGGCGCGGCCCGTCGTCTTCCGTTGGTTTGGCACCCACGTTTGCGGCCTCGCAGGGGCATCGGGCACTCGGGCTGCCGCCCTGGCGACCCGCTGCTGCGCGCTCAGGTGGCATGTCGCGTCGCTGCCCTGGTCCTGGACGGAGGGAGGAGGGGGAGGAGGAGGAGGAGGAGGAGGAGGAGGAGGAGGAGGAGGAGGAGGAGGAGGAGGAGGAGGAGCCAGAGGAGGAGAAGCCAGAGGAGGAGGAGGAAGAGGAGGAGGAGGAGAATGGGAGGGGGAGGAGGAGGAGGAGGAGGAGGAGGAGGAGGAGGAGGAGGAGGAGGAGGAGAAGGGGAGGAGAAGGGGAGGAGGAGGAGGAGGAGGAGGAGGAGGAGGAGGAGGAGGAGGAGCAGCAGGAGGAGGAGGAGGGGGAGGGGGGCATTATGAGGGGAAACCAGCTCGGGGGGCTTACAATCAAGTTCGATTGGAGAGGACACGCGAAGAGGGCACAGGCCATTTCCGAGGGCCACGTTGCCCCAGAAAGGCAGAAGAAGCGGATGCGAACCTACAGGGCATACAAGGGTACCCTTGATGTGGCAAAGCCGACCTGCTCATCAAACTCGACTGGAATCATCGAACTGGAATCGGCGATACATCGCATTGGAATCGGCGACAGGCCCCCGACGGGGAAAGCCCACGCTCCTGGACTGGGTGAGCTATCAGGCTACTGTCGGCGATGAGCGGACGATTGGGGGCCGCGACGCGCCCCCCCGAGCCCAAGTACCCCTCTCCCCCCAACGTTGCCCCTAATGGGCCTGCCGAGGCCCCTCGATCGCGCTGCAAGCGGTCATGTCGCTCGTCCCGCTTTTGTGAGAGCTCGCGTCCGCGGCCGGGCGAGCTCCATGTGGGCTCTCGATGGCTGACGGTCTCGCGGTCTGCTGGCCAAAGACAGCCCGGGCCCCGCCGTGCTGCTCGATCGGCCTAGCGATCAACCGCGAGTTCGGGTCCGAGGCCCGCTCCCTGGCGTGCTCCGTCGGTACCTCCGACAGGCGGCCTCACCAAAGCTGTCGCGCTCGCGGTGTTTGGGCGCCCGCTTCTGCTGCTGCTTCTGCTGCTGCTGCTGCTGCCGCTGCTGCGTCGGCGGGGCGACCCCGCTGTCCTGATTCTTACTCCGGTTCTGCCAGGCGGCTTCCTCCTCGGTCTCGGTGCTGCCGATCTTGGCGTTGGTGTTCACTTTCCAAAAAGAGAGGGGCAAAAAAGGGGGAGAGGTAGTACGGAAGGTTCGGGTCGTGCCGACTTCGGCTTAGGTTTCTGTCACCGCGGGATCGTTCAACCTGGAATCGACCGATTACGGGTCGCCGGCAGCGTTCAACGTTAAACGCGGGGGCGACGGGGCAAACGCCAGTCGATACGACGCATACTGTCGGGAACGTTTGCTTAGCCTGTCGCCGCGGCGGCCCAGGCGACACGCGATCCCATCCAAGAGGGGAAGCGTGTCGCTCCGCTCCGCGGGGTGGGAGGCTGGGAAAGGCTCGGGACGTGGAAGCCTGGGGACTGGGAAGTGGGTAGCGTGTCGCACCGAAGAGTGGTGGGCCAGAACTGGCGTAACGACACACTGAGCCAAGATTCCTGGCCGTATGCTGCATGCCAGTGACGTGGCGCGGTCGAGGTGAGCGTCGATCAGGGCAGACCGTTTCGCGGCACCTCGGTGGTCTGTTTTGGTCCCTGGGGCTGGTCCTCGAGCATAGGACGAACGATGTGCAACAGGGCACGGGGAGGAACACGGGGAGACTCTTAGTCGACACGTGAGCGGAAAGGGGGGGAAGCGACGACAGCTCGGAGGTAGCCTGCACCATCGGCCCAAGACAACGCTCATCATGAATGATGGCGGAACGACTGCGTAACGGACCTTACCGGAACAACAGTCGCAGACGGGATAGGTCAAGTCGTGGCACCATGCTTTCGACGAGACCGTGTCTTCGAGACGGAGAAGCCGGTGCAGGCAAACAACGCGAGTATCTCAACGCCGTTGCTCACTGAGCCAAATGGATAGCAACTTCGCCACGAGGGGTGACGAGGCCGGCAGGATCGGAGGTTGGGGGGGGGTGGGATCGCAATGGAGCGGAGGCCCCCAACGGGGAAGTCGTTTCGTTTCGTTCGTGTCGCGCGTGCGGGCGAGGCGAAGCTGCGTGGGAGCGCAAGAGGAATCAAACCGCCGTTGCTGGGGCGAAGTCAAGACAAATGATTCTCCCCCGCCCTCCCGTCCGTCCGTCCAGCGGTGGCCCGCGGTGTCCCGCGGTGTCCCGTGGTGTCCCGTGGTGTCCCGTGGTGTCCGCCGTTGCTAGGGCGAAGTCGAGACAAATGATTCTCCCGTCCGTCCGTCCGGCGGTGGCTCGCGGTGTCCCGCGGTGTCATGTGGTGTCCCGTGGTGTCCGCCGCTGCTAGGGCGAAATCAAACAAATCATTCTCCCCCGCCCGCCCGTCCGTCCGTCCGTCCGGCGGTGGCTCGCGGTGTCCCGCGGTGTCCCGTGGTGTCCCGTGGTGTCCCGTGGTGTCTCGTTGAGTGCCGCCCGTCCGTCCGTCCGTCCGGCGGTGGCTCGCGGTGTCCCGCGGTGTCCCGTGGTGTCCCGTGGTGTCCCGTGGTGTCTCGTTGAGTGAGATCGACAGTGAGATCGATAGTGAAATCGATAGTGAGATAGATAGTGAGATCGATGTGATGCCCCGTGGTGTCCCGTGGTGTCCCGTTGAGAGAGATCGATAGTGAGATCGATCGTGAGATTGACAGGTGTCCCGTGGTGCCCCGAGGTGTCCCGTGGTGTCCCGTTGAGTGCGATCGATAGTGAGATCGATCGTGAGATCGATACTGAGATCGATGTGGTGCCCCGTGGTGTCCCGTGGTGTCCCAAAAAATGAGATCGATAATGAGATCGACAGGTGTGCCGTGGTGTCCTGTGGTGTCCCAAAAAGTGAGATCGATAGTGAGATCGATGTGGTGTCCCGAGGTGTCCCGTGGTGTCCCGTGGTGTCCTAGGGTGTCCCGTTGAGTGAGATCGATAGTGGGATCGAAAGTGAGACCGATAGTGAGATCGAGAGGTGTCCCGCGGTGTCCCGTGGTGTCCTGTGGTAGCCCGTGGTGTCCCGTTGAGTGAGATCGATCGTGAGATCGATAGCGAGATCGACATGTGTCCCGTGGTGTCCCGTAGGGTCCCGTGGTGTCCCGTGGTGTCCCGTTGAGTGAGATCGATTGAATCAGATGATGGTTCCCCCCCCTCTCCCCCCTCCACAACCTCCTTATCACCCAAAGGGTGGTCGTATAGGTAAGCCGAATCGAAATTATATGCAAAGCAACCCTGGACGTGATCTCAACGAAGCCCCTGTCGGCCGGTAGAATCAGAGAGAGAGAGAGAGACAGAAAAGACTGCAAAAGGGAGAGAGAGAGAGAGGGAGATAATGACCAAGAAAGAAAGAAATAACAAACAAGAAGGGGAGATATATACTAACGAGAGAGAGAGGGAGTGGTAGGTAGGGGGTAGGGGCGGAGGCAGGAGACACCTGTGAGGAGGGATGGAGGGAGGAGGGGAGAGAGAAGCGAGAGGGGACGGGAGAGGAGAGACAAGGCAGGAGGGGGGAGCGGTGAGCGGGGGAGACGTGAGCAGTATGGGATGAGGCGGGGGTAGAACGGATATTGACACATTGGGACACCCGCTTCTCCCGTCGCCGCCTACAACTGGTCTCCCCCTTTCTGCTGCTGCGTCTGCCCCACCTCCACCTCGTCCGCCTCCTCCTCCTCGTCCACCTCCTTCCCCCCTCCGCTTGCTCGAACTCCTTCATCTTCTCCGCCTCCAGCGTCCACCCTCGCCTCCCCGCGCTTCTCCTCATCCCCCTCTCCCCCCTCCTTTTCTCGCTCGCCCCCCCCTCCGCCCTGCTGCCCCCTCCGCCCCCCTGGCCTCCGTCCGGGGACTGCTTGGCTCTGTGGTGTCTCACCAGCCGCCTCGGGGGAACGGATGGTGCTGGGGGCAGTTAGGTGGCAATGGGCGCCGTAGGAGAGGGAGGAGGAGCAGGATGACGAAGATTATGACGACGAAGGGATTGGAGAGAGGCAGGGGGGAGGCGGAGCAATACGAGGAGAAGAGGGGGAGGACAAGGAGAACCAGCGGAACGACCAGGGTGACGACAGGAGCTGCAGAGGGACGGCCATTATTCGTGAGGGGAGGGCGAGGGGGAGGGGAGCAGAGGGGAAGTGGTGAGAGAATGGAGGGCGGAGGGGGGAGTCAAGTCCCCCAAAAGAACGCGAATGCGTCGCTCACCAGCTCTCGTCCTCCAGACACAGAAATAGCACCCAAAACTCAGCATGAGCAACGATTGTCATTCCTTTGATGGCCGAGCATGGAACGCATGGAGGCCCGACGCACGCACAAGGCACGAGAGTTCCCTCAGGCGCACCAGGTGAGCCCAGTGGATGGTCGCACATGCTGCCTGAGTGAATGCTGATGGGCCGTGCAATTGCCTGCACCCTGGCAGTGAAACGCCAAACAGAAAAAAATGCGACTCGGACTTCTTGGATCGAGGGCAGAAAATCCACCACCATATTTATCACCCCGGCAGGCGAAGCGGTTTAATAAACGCGCCCAGGGAAGGAATCGAACAGAGCGGGGCTGTTTTGTAAACGCCCAGGGCCCTTCGGGTCCGGGTGTTTTCCCCTCCCTTTGATTGAATGGGTTTTCGTGTGCTTCCCCAGTGATGGAGTGCGCATGTGCGGGAGGGGGGGGGCGGGGAAAATTAGAAGAAGAAAAAACGCCATGAACATAAACTTTTGGCGCTCCTCGCGATTTCTTAGATTCGCGCTGGACCTCCTCCCTGGCGCGGAGCGCGCCAGGGGCGGCGCCGGAGGCGCCGCCGGCGCCGCCGGGGGGGCCCCAGGCGCGGATCCAAGAAATCCGCGCGGAGCGCCAATTTTTTTATGTTTATGGCGTTTTGTCTTCTTCGATCAATGTTGTCCACCGTCCGACACCACGTGCGCGCGCGTGTGCTTGCGGGGGGCACTGGGGCGTGACCGCGCTCCACTGGGCGGGCGGCCGACGCGTCGCGGCAGAGAGGCTGCCGACCAGCAGAGAGCACGGTCGGGGGAGAGGGGCGAGCCAGGTGCACTGGCGCCACAGGCAGGCAGCCCGCCCTCAGCCTCCAGAGCGCAAGTTCCGTGCGCGTACGTTTAGGTCGGGCGTGTCCCCCTACAGGCGGATTTGGGACGAAAAATGAAAAGGCCCTAGAAATACTCAAAAACTATTCCAAAATAGTCAAAACATCGTCCCCTGACTATGTTTGGACTTTGTTTGAATATTCCTCCTGTACAGGGACAGGCCCGACTTAACCTCAGCCTCCAGAGCGAAGGTTCCGTGCGCCTACGTGGTGGGCTGGCTTGCGCTACCAGGCCTGAGCATCGTCTCGCCCTCTTCCCCCCCTCTCCACCTGCGGGGTCGTTCCCTCTCCCTCTTTCGTTATCCTCTCGCTTCCTCGTTCTCTTTCTCTTTATCGTTTTCGTTCTCTTCATTTTTTCTCTCTCACTCTGTGTCTCTCTCCCTTCAGCAGAACGCGAGGGTACCACGAACATATTATCATCCTCCCCTGTCCAGAAGATCGAGCGGTATCTCAGCTGTGCATCCTTTTAGCCAGCCGCTTCCCTTACAATCTACCACGAGTGTGGCCTGGCTTTGCGGCTCCCTCCTTCCTTCGCCACGAAGACGCAATGATACCGAAACGAAGAATGACATAGGCATAAAAGCTCGGAGGTCCGCGCGGATATCTCGGATCGGCGCTGGACCCCCCTCCCTGGCCCGCGGTGCGCGCCAGGGGCGGCGCCGGTGGAGCCGCCAGGGGTCTCCAGCGCAGAAATCCTCGCGGACCTCCGAGTTGTTATGTTTATGTCCTTCTTCGTTCCCCTCAAATGCGGCCCGGCGCCTCGTCAGCCACACGCGCTTCTCGGGTACGCCCATGCGCCCCAGGAGCGCCTCGAGCTCGCCGTGCACGCCCGGCTCGTGGGCGGACAGGACCTCCAGCAGGCTCCAGGCCTCTTGCACGGCCCGCGGGGCGAGAGGACGAGGAGGAGGACGAGGAGGAGGCGGAGGAGGAGGAGGAGAAGGAAGAGGGAGGAGGAGGAGGAGGAGGAGGAGGAGGAAGAGGAGGAGGAGGAGGAGAAGGAGGAGGAGAAGGAGGAGGAGGAGGAGGGAGGAGGAGGGAGGAGGAGGGAGGAGGAGGAGGGAGGAGGGAGGAGGCAGCGCGGGGCCCACAGATGCTCCCACAGAAGCCGCGGGGCCGAGACTCTCCGGGCGTTTGAAGACATGGCACGGAGGTGTAATGCCCGAGAACAGAGATGCAGCTGCTTTGGTGCTCGGATTCCAGCAGATGGCTCGCCCCAGAAGCACTGAATTCGAAAACAAAGGCATCTCCTGGGTGGCAAGTTTTCCGCCCTCCGCAGCCCTCTGCCAGCCTTCCGACGGCCGAGCCGCCCCCATCTTACTTCCGCCGCCTTCCGCCGAGGAACAGATGCCAACTCATCGATCCCTCGGAGGTGGGGGTAATTACCTCCCGGGCCGCCCCATATAGGGCCTATCTCAGCGCGCGCGCCTACAGTGGGGGCCCGTTCACAAGAAACTGTCCACAAGAAGCCCAACCTTGAGACCACAGGACGTCTTGCTGTCCAGAGCAATACCAGAAGAAACCACGCCTGGCTTTCCAGAGCAAAACCATCGAAACCCAAGACACCAAGGGCACCCTGGAGGCAAGCAGGGTGTTTCTTGGCATGGGCCTCCACTGTACTGTGTGGGGAGATTGCCCCCGCCCACCCCGCCCTCCTCCCTCCGGGCGGAGGACGTGGGCCCAGCGAGGGCCCCCGGGAGGCCAGAGTTGGAGGCCTGGACATGGGCACCAATACCAACACAAGCGGTTGCCTCCACAGGGGGAAGATGATCCTAGATTTCGGTGTTGGTGGTAATCGTTCGACAACGTTGGAAGCCAGAATATCACAACCATCGCCGAGATCGAGGTCTTCTTCCCTCCGTGGAGGCACACCGCCGATATCGGTGTTGGTGTCAACCTCTAGGCCTGCGACAGGGCCAATATTCCCCAATCACTGCTTGCACTGAAAAGGCCCTCGCGGAAATTGAAAAATTAGGCGAACAATTCCCGCCGAGTTTGGTAGCCGGCTGGGTTCCCGGGTTCCTGGTCATTGGTTCTGGGCCGATGTGGGTGGGTTCCAGTTTTCCAGGTTCCCGGTCGATCTCCTCATCGATCTCTTTATCAATCCCGCGATTCATCGAACCATCCACTGATTGGGGTTTTCTTTGGTGTAATTCTTGCGTCGGTGCGACAGAGGTCCGGGCAGGGCGCCTGCGCAATGTCCACGGGCAGCCTGCCCCCTATCAGCGGCCACGGGGGCGGCGCCCCCGCGTCGTCGGTGGGCCTGGCTGCCGCGCGCTCGCGCGCCCGGGCGCCCCTCGCAGCCTTGCCCCCCCCGCCCCCGACGACGACGTCGGTGTCGGTGTCGGTGTCGATGTCGACGAGGACGAGGACGAGGACGAGGACGAGGACGAGGACGAGGACGACGACGACGAGGACGACGACGAAGAAGACGACGACGACGACGTTGCCGTCGTCGGCGGCGGCGGCCTCCTCGTCCTCGCCCCTAGGCCTCGTCGTCGAGGCGTCGTCACCCTCCTGGACTTGTCCCGCCTCATCCCCATTAATCCTCACCGTCCCTCTCTCGCACCCTCCCCCCCATCCTCGCTCTGTATCCTCCCCTTCCTCCCCTTTTCCGCCCCTCCTCCTCCACTTCCTCCTTATCACCATGTGCCTCGTCCGCCTCATTGTCCTCGTCCTCCCTCTCCTCATCCTCCAAGGTCCCTGCCTCCTCCTTCTCCTCCACCTCCTCCTTTTTAAAGGAACCAGGAACTGTGTAGCCCCGCGCGGATGATAAAAACAACGGCGCTGGACCTATTTGGCGGCGCCTCCGGAATCGCCCCTGGCGCGCTTTGCGCGCCCACGAAGGGGTCCAGCGCCGATCCAAAAGATCCGTGTGGGCCTCGGACAGCTTATGTTGTTGCTGACGTGTCTTCTTCGACACCTCCACCCCTCTCCTTCCCGCCACCTCCTCCTCCTCATCCTCATCCTCATCCTCCTTTGCCGACGTCTCCATCGTCTCCTCTGCTGTCGTCGGCATCGTCTCCGCCGTCTCCGTCGTCGCCGCCGTCTCCGTCGTCGCCGCGCGTCGTGTGGAGGCGTCGTCGTGGCCGTCTTGCGCGTTGCTCGGGTTGGGACTTGTTTCCCTTGTGCAGAGGCCTCCTCTCCCTCACCACCAGCTCAGCTCGATCCTTGCTTATCAAGGCTGCCTGTGCTGCATTGTTGCGCTGGTGGCCTGGCTCTGACACGGGAATAATCACTGCACCTGTTGGAGCGCATTGCGCAACGCCTCTTTGCAGCTTATGCTTCGCATCCTGTGTTTGGCAGACGCGCTCGTGATGCTCAGCGTCGGCGTTGGAAAGGAACGTGCGTGCATGGTTTCAATGAAAATGCCTTCGAACAATATGTGCCGATCCACCAGCCTCGGCAGTGAGCATATATTGCCGCCAGGCAGAACCAGAACGCCGCACAAGCCGACCTGAAAATAAACAAACTCGTGTAGAGAACCTTGGCCTGGAAGAGAAGACGTCGAGGACAGGAGTGAATAAGAGGAGGGGAAAGAAGCCAGATGGCGAAGGACACGAATTAGCCTTACAACATATCGACACCCGGCCTGACGAACTGAACAGCGACAGCTCCGTATTGAAAGGCCGAATCAGCCCAGGCAATACACACACTCACCACGACAGGAGGCAGGAACGAGAAGAGGGAAGATGAAAACAAGAGAGCTCGCGAATGCACTGACCAGCCAGGACGTAGCCTGTGGCCCACGCACAAATGTTCCACACGAGCGCGGAGGAGAGAGGAGAAAACGGGACGAGAGGGGAAAAAGTGCCGGTGCGCAAGCCGGCCACTGGGCGGTGTTCGCACAGCTTCCCACGCGAGCGTTCTGAAAGGGCTCGGGGGCGATGAGACCAGTGAAAAATTCTGCTGGTTGTGGCACGGCATGCGTAACATTGCCTGCGGAACCCTGCCGTACAGGGGCGGGAAGAACAGGGTGCGCGCGCCTGTGGGCTGGGCGGCCTGACGCAACACTTCGGAAGAAAGGCGGCGAGGTGAGGGGGGGGCGAGGAGCACTGGCCGCACATGGAACTCCAGGTCGGGCCCCCGAGACGTGCTTGAGGCCGCTCGGATGGAGAAGTGGACACAGCAGTGCTGCTGGTAGTGACATCGGACGTCGGAGCTGACGCACCCCTGGCTCGTGATCCCTGTGGCGCGACACGCCGTGGCCCATGTCAGCCCCAATGATCTGGCACGCTGGGTGCGTGTTGATCCCATTGGTGCGGCACGCGTGGAGCGGGAGTCGGAGCTGGAGTTGATGCCAGAGCCGTTGTTGGAAGGGCAGGCTGGGGTCGGAGGCACCGCTGGGGTCTGGGCTAGCAGCGGAAGGGTCGGAGCTGGAGTCGGAGCCGGAAGTGGAGCAGGACCTGTGGTAGTCGCCTACGGCGTGACGCTGGCCCCGCTCATACTCTCCGCAGTATCACGCTGCCGGATGTTCGACGCACGTGGCCGCAATGCTGAGCAAACCAATCAGGCGAGAGTCGGAGCAGTCGTCGGCGCGTGTGCTGGGGATGGCTCGCTTGAGGGCTCCAGTGTTGGAGCGACGGACAAGGCGAGGCATGGAGCTGGAAGCGGAGCTGGAGTCGGGGGGGCGCTAGAGTGACGGTCGGAGGGTTGAGCCGAAGCGGGCGGCCTGGCCAGAATCAGAGATGCCGCGTCTGCAGGAGCTGATCAGTTTGCGGGTCTTGAGTTAGGTTGCTCCTGTCGTACTTAAGGGCCGCATCCCAAAAATAGTTTCTGCACTGTTGTGTGCGAGAGGGGATCAAGGCAACACTTTTTCAAGTACCGCTCTACCGGTTGCGTGGTAGAAGTCTGCCTTACAATTGGCTCAGCTACGCGGGTCTTGAACTAAAAAGCTGTGGTCGCAGCAACAGCTATCCACCACCTACCCCAGCCACTGCTCCATAGGCTATGCCATGCAAGTATCTGTAAAGAGATGGGGCTGCGTTCGCCCAACTCGCATTGATGGATTGCCGGCTATCCCCACTCCGATCTCGGAAAGCCACCGCAAGCCATGAGTTGAGCAAGGCATCCTCGTTGATGCCATTGAGGGCCCTCTTAATTGGGCTCACTAGCGCTGGGTGGTGACCCAGCACTAGCCATCAAAAACTCTTTTGCTTGACCCTGGAACCGTTGGTGTCGTAACGCCTCTGGCTCTGCAGGGCGGCTGCTCTAACCGCCTGCAGCGTGAAGCTACTTGCAAAGTTTGCCTTCAGACGCTCTAAGACGTCGTGCACAGAAGCTTGGAAGAGGTCTGGATTGCTACAGAGCTTGTTTACTCGGTTCACGTAAGCCTTCGGCCAGGAAGCATGGATCGGAAAACGGTGCGAGCTATTCGTCCCCAGCGGGGGTGCCAAAGCGGTGGGTTTAAGAAAATGTGAAACATCGAATCTCCCATCTCCTTTGTGGGTGGAAACTTCTAGGAAATCAACACTCCACATCGACCACTCTACCGTCAAAGGATAGAAGACAGCTCTGGCCCGCATTCGATCATAAAACTGTTTGGTCCTGGACGCTAGGCCTTGACCGAGAAGCAAAATGTCGTCACGGAATCTGAAATACCCCCTGATGCCGTGATCATCAAAAATGCTGGGGAGGAGGAGGTGCTGCTCCACGAGACCTAAGAAAGTGCAGTCTGCGAGCTCCCCGCTATGGAGGAGCCCCATCCCTGAACCAGATATCACCTGGTAGACCCTGTCTGGCGAATCGTCCCAAGGATCCCGTACGAATTGGCACCGCAATAGAAAACGAATGACCTTCTCAAGGGTACTGTAGATGGTGTCGCGGACATCGAACAAGGACATGACGCACGACACGATCTGGTCTTCCGTACCGTTAAGGTAAAAATTTTTCACATCAACCTTGCAAAAGTGCCACGTGCGGTCAGGGTGCAAATTTTGCAGCCTGCGGATCAGATCAGAAGAATCACGGAGGAGATGGGGCGCACGCTCGTCGAGCTTGTCCCGAAGAACTGAGACGACCCACGCGCTGAGCCCGCTGAAAATGTACGTGGGCGTCGCGTGCACTGGTCGGCACGATACTTCCCCTTCTGATTTGTGGTCCTTCACGGTGAGCTGCAGACGGCTGAAGAACGTTGCGTTCGAGAAGAAAACGGTCCTGAACATCCGTCTGCCAGCGCGCGGCTGCCCGATGACGTCGGCAACCTCGGAACACAAGTTCTTATATGTCTCTATGGTGCTATTCAGGAGGCCATGCGGGCTGATGCATATGTACATGTTAGAGTCAAGTATCCTGGCCGACATCCCTGGGAGGTCGGACTTGCGAACCAGAGAATACCTGCTGTTCTTGTCGTTCGGAAGGCAAACATACTCGCTGCTCCTGAGGGTCCTCAAGGCAAGCCTTTCGAGCGCCGTAGAATTGGAATAACTTCGATCACCAAACCTATGTGCTGACCGGCTCTTCCGAACGGCATCGAGAAGCCTCTTTTTCACAGAAGTAAGCCACCGATCCAACGTCCTCCACTCATAGTTCGTGCCTATGCTGTGCTCTGGGCAAAACGGGGCGACTCGAGAAGAGCGAGGTAGAGTGAAATCAACAGCCTCTGGAGGGCACTGCTGGTAATACCACCGCCATTTGATCCTATTCGCGAAATCAGTGACTTTCAAACGGACGCGTTCCATCGATGGCAACCCACGTGATCGGAAAATGTGCTTCCTGTGTCGGCGCAAAATCAACCATTTAATGGGCCATGGGATCGCACTGTCATCAACCATAGACTTCGTAAGGGGATCGTATCTTTTGACGCGGTGCTGATTTTCCTTCCAGTTGAGGATTGCGAGCAGGTCTCCAAAGTCCAGGCCCTCCGTGAGCCTGGTCATCCAGCGCACTGGCGCTGCAGACTGCTTCATTTATTTTTGCCTTTGCCGCCGCGTTTTTTGCCTAAGCCTTTTCTTGTGTTGTCGCCCTTGGCCGTGTCCTTCCCTTGTCCTTTGCCGCGTCCCTTGGGGAACCCTTTGGTCTTCCAATTTCGTGACTCTTCGCCCTTGGCTGTGTTCTTCCCCTTTCCAGCACCAGCTCCTTTGGGAGACGCGTTGGTCTTGCCCTTGCGCCTGTCGTCTTTCTTGGGATAGCCAGTAAACGTGTTGTTCGTGCTGGTGTTGTACTTGGTGTTGTACTTGCCCTTGCCGTTGCCGATGTGTTGTGCCCCCCCCGGCTTGCCAGCCGGGGCGGCCCCGTTTTTTGTCATTACCGTTTCGCAGAACT